CAATATGCTCTTTTTCTAGGGTAATCATATCAGATCAGAGAATGAAGTAGCTGCTTAATTTACTTAGTTCAAATTAAAACCAAAAGGTTTTCATAAACCCTTTTATAAATTATTCTGCTGTAGGGACAATTAGAGCAAGATGATAGTGATTTGAGTGTGAGTCAATTGAATTCACTGGCACAACTTCCAACTCTTACTATCATAATAAAAACCAAAGTTCTTGACCTTGATAACTTTGTCACTTTCAGTTTCTCAGTGGAAGTGGGTTTTCCACCTTTTTGAGATTCTTTAGGAAGTAATTGGTATTATCTTGTTCATCCTCCCCTTGATTAGGTAGCCTGTAGTAAACACCACGAGGTTTCCTTTCTTGGCTCATCCTCCAGTTTTCGCCCACAAGCCTCTCAACCTGGTTGTCTCTATTTTTCAAAGACAGCTCTGTGTAATCAATCTATTTTTTACATGTTTAAGGACTGTATGAAGAAATTCTACAGATTATGTATACTAACCCATGATGTTTTCAACTGGATCATGCCTTTGTTCCTCCCTTACCCTTTGGAAACTCATTACCCCGCGAATGACTGTCAAACCTTATTTTTCTGCATATCATCACATGTGGTTTCCTACAAAATAAGAAGTAGTTTAGTATTCCAGCTTTCTTTAAGTACTGACTTCCTGCCATATTTTGCTAGGTTTTTATGGTTTTATAGAAATGTAGATAGAGAGAGAGATTTCCTTGTTCTCCATAGTTCAGAAATTTATTGCTTTATGGCAGACTAAAAAATGTCTTTTACCTGGAATAGAGGATAAAGCAATCCTGAAGAGCTGTTACTTCTTCCATATAAATTAAGCAATCCTGAAGAGCTGTTACTTCTTCCATATAAATTAAGCTACTTCAGTGTGTAAATCTGGGCACATTTAAATGATTATCACACAGATCATTCACTTTGAACATTTATGAAGAACTAGAATAAACAAAGTTATCCTGCTACAGCACACATACAAAACTGCTGTAAAAAAAGTTGCTGTTACTTAGAATTCAGTTTCTCCACTTCCTTTGACATCTTCAGTTGATTCCCAGAGTGCAGACAGCAACCCTTTGAGAACTGTATGATGGTGCAAATCCCTTGTCTCCACTTGCTGCTCTGACTGCTGGCTCTGTCCCACTCACAGTTACCTTTTGTCTGCAAACGTAAGCCATGCATGTCTCACATCTTGTCTGCACTAGTCCAGCCTGCTCAGCTGGACTTAGAACCCACAGAGTGAGTAGCAGCAAGTGTAGTAATTCAGACAAGTTTCAGAGCACTGAATTTGTTTGGTTTCCTGTTAGGAGTCCCTTGATACCCTGAGGCTGCACCAGCATCTTCTGAGAGCCCAAAGCCAACAACAAGAAGAATTAGTCAGGGCCTGGACTATCCATGATAGCTCAGGGCAAGGACAACCACCTTACGCCTGGATTCAACATGTATTGGGAACTAGATGCAATCACCCAGGTTCACTGAAAGTTGTAGGACTTAGATTTTTACTCCAGTGTGGTTTAGACAGGGATCTTGAGCAACATATTTGAAAGAAAAGGAAGAAAATACACAAAAGATAGGTAAGTGAACAGCTACTCATAGAAGATGGAACAGTCAGGATCAGAAACTTGTGCCCATTTCTACAACAGTATTACCACATGAATTAAAATAAATCAGTTAAATTTTTAATACTATTCAGCATTTGCATTGCTACACCTACTTCAGTCATACATGGCCCTCAAGTGCTACATGCAAAATTTATTCTTTTGGACAGTCTGAGACATAGAGAAGAGGAGAGATAAGACAAAATGAAATCAGAGCCCAGGTAGCACTCTTGGGAGAACAGTAGTTCCAAGACTCTGCACACTCTAGAGAGTTGAATACAAAATATTTTAAATTATTTCAACAGGATTATCTGAAGATATGGTTGCTTAAATGGTCCAAGCTCTCTTCACTAATCCTAAGGAAACGTTCCTGCCCAACAATCCAGGAGCCATTCTGGCAGTCACACTTGTGTTAGAAATTATATAACTTTTCTTATTTTTTTTTTAATTAATGGTAGCAGGTGGCTAAGTTTCTTTTCACAGACTCTTGTCAGCTTGATCTTGAAACCACTGAACTTTTGAGTTCCTCTGGACTAGCTCTGATAAGCTTCAATAAACAAAGTCTGAGGGAATTGAAGATATGGTCTCTCAAAGACATAGAGGAGTAATCAGAAGGTACAGAGATTAACAATGACATTACAGCCTGAGAGATGGAGAATGTCTGTCTGAGGAAGAATTACAAGAGAACCAAATAACGTGGACCAAATTAGCATTAATGGTGAGAGATCAATAGCCAATAAAAGATAGAATATTAATTAATGAAGAGAACTGTGTAACTTAGAACCAAGGAAAGTTCATTTCTTTGTTTGCTAAATGTATAAATACATGAAAAGTCTTGAAAGGGACATGTAGCTAGAATGATTTGCTACATATCTCTGGCCAGAATAGAGTAATGCCTGGCTCACTGTCACTTAAAAGATAATGTTGGAGGGTTTCATTTCTTCCTTATGATTTTCAGTGACACACACCACCAGAGATTTTAACTGCTGGGATTGAAGCTCCTTCACAATGAGCAGCTCCAGTGAGCCAATGGCTGCCCTGCTTGACTCCCTGTAAACCCCACAATCAATGCAATCAGAACAGATTTCCTTACCAGCTCAAAACCAGGTTTCCCTTAGCAGAGTCTCAGATGTGTCATTCCATAAAGCAATTTATTCATGGTGCAGAAACAGCCAGAGCTGGTGCCTCTGAGGAGGGACCCCAAACAAAGGACCCCCTGGGGTTTTTTATACCCTCACAATCTGAGTGCATGAAAGTTTCAGCTCTTCCTGCTGAGCCCTCAGTTCCTGCTGTCTCTGAGTGTTCAGTCACCTGGCTGGGCCACAGGTCCCTGTGCCTTTTTTTGTGCAAAGGGTTAGTGCCAGGTCACAGCCTCTTGTCTAGGGCTTCCTGCCCCCAGAGCTACAACCTACAGCAGCTGCACACTGAGCTACTGGCACTGAATGTATTCCTCAACACCAAGAACACCAATCAACAAAATATTTGTTGTGGGGTTTTCTTCCTCCATTATCCAACAATCTTTCAAAGTATGTGCCTGTGTACATATCAACTCATTTAATTGTGGAATACAGAAATTCTTCTATGATAAGTTTTTTATGAAAGATGACATTCCCAAAAAGTGTTTCAATGGACCTTGCATGATATATAAAAAAGACTGAAAGGGTTGTATTAAATCCACCAGGTAATTAATCAGACGGTGACAGAATAATCAAGAAAAGTGATATGAACTTCCCTTTCCCTAAACTACGACAAAACAGAGCCACAAAACATTTCCCAGATCCTCATGATAAATGTTTTCCGTCTAAAACCAAAAGCCACAACCACAACATAGTAAAGACTACCTCAAGGGCACCACTTCATTTTCTACATCCTGGTAAAAGAAAAAAATTTGGCAAGTAAAACTTCATAGTGTTCCAAAGCAGTTCATGTCCTGCAGGACACCACACTTGAAATAAAGTTAGGATATGAAAAAGACAGGTTAGTCCGCAGGCTATTTTTGTATACATCTTGTTTCCAGGCTAACATGCAGCCTGCATGCATACCTACTCCTGTAAAAGTATGGCAAGAGCAAGACTTAAGCACCCATGTGAGCTCTTCCTCAGATAAAAAAAGCTGACTCATTCCTCCCATTATCAGGGTTCCTTTCCCAATTGGCAGTCTTTTGTGAGAGAGCTCTAACCCTGTTACCTAGGATAAAAACACCAAAAAAAAATCCTCCCCGAAAAACCAAACCAACTCCAAACTTACCTGCTTCCCATTTCTTCTGAATGTTCCTTTGACTTGGGATATCAGGTTGATTTCTCCTTAATAACTAGGCTTGAATTAAAATGCAATGAGAAAAGACACATTCCTCCTACAAGACAAGATGCATCTTAACAAGACTGAAGAACACATGCCATATAGTAAATGCACAGACTTGGGGACAACTCCCCTGCCACAACATGGAGTTTCAAATGAGGTGGCTACTTTAACATAAGTTTAAGAAATTAAATTAGGACCCCATATCTGGTTCCAACAAAGAAGGTCTGCCACTGTGGAAAACCTTACAGAGAAGTTGTGCCTTACGTAATTCCAGTGTACATATACATATTCAGTAGAAATTTTGGAGAAAAACATTTCACCTTCCCATCTATTAGGTAGTACCTAAATACCCGTATCTTCACAGTATCTAAGCATCTCCAATTAGGAAAGAACCTTGAAAACAAAAATGTAGAAATAAATTAAACTATGCAGTTCAACTCAGCAAAGACAAAAAAAATAAGTAAGAACTCACGAGGAACAAAGGAAATTCTACCTTACTACAAATAAACATTCAAAGTCATGGTAGGCTGAAAGGCATCTGAGACATGAGTATTTGTAAACCTTATGTGGAAAAAATATACATAAGTCACTCAGCAAATACGACAGATGTCCAAATCCTACAGAGTGGGTAGTCATGCAGCACCAATTATAAAGGAAAATTATAACATTAAGTTGCTGTTTCTCTTATTCCAGCTTAAATAAATAACTGCTAAGAACATAAAGGATACATCCTTCCAGATATCTGATCACCCAGATGAAGGCACAGTTTGAAATAGATCTAAAAAATAAATTTTGAGCCATGCTTCCTCAGAGAGAAGTCTCACAATGGAAAGATTACTTTCTACTTACTGCTGTGCAACACCAGCCTGACATGGACTCAGTAACTCGTTATCCCACTGTCAAGTATCCCGATGCAATAAAAGAAACTATGAAATATAGTATTACAATGACTTCCTTGCTTACTTTTTATTGAAATGAGGAAAAATATATCAAGACAAGCGTTTATAAGAAAAACTGTGAAAAGCATGTGAGAAAAACTAATATTTATTAAAAGAGAAACACATTAAAAAATGTATCAAGAATCATCCTCATCTATAAGCCTTTACATTCTTTCATAAGACAAATTTCCTGTCTCCAGTTTTCAAATACAGAATCAGTACATTCAACTCAGTGTAAAAGCCGCAAAAGTAAACAATGCTTGTTTGTCATTGTTTTGTATTACATATTTTTGTACCACATATTTTCCAACTGCATAATTCAGTCCTTTTCTCTGAGCTTTATGCAAAGTGAGGTGAATTCCATCCCACAGTACTGCAGCACATTGTTTTATTCATTCACATTTGTAAGGTGTGCCTACTTTGACTACTGACGTTTCTGAAATATATAGACATGCAAATTCCTCCAACAAAGGTCTGGTTGAACTGCACACTGAAGTGTAAGGCAGAAAATATCTAATTCAAACCCTTCAAAGGAGCCTTCCTTCCTCTTATACACAAAGAGAAAGATGAGACTTATGGTACTTTCATCACACTTTCATCATCTCATGATGATCAAACTGTAGGAAGAAGCAACACAATCCCACAATGTGTTTTAATTGTTAAACATTAAAAAGTGAATATTTATTTCCTCAAAAACAGATTGTTTATGAAAATAAGGTACTCAATATTGAAGCTCTGGTAGACTAAAAGTCATTGAAATCCCTGAGAAGGGAAGGAAGGAAATATCACAAAGATCTTTGAAATCACGAATGGCAAAAACAGAAAGCAAGTAATCACTGTTCAGTCTTGAAGTATGCAGGCATCAGCCAGTAACAAGTTCAAAGCAAAAGGACACATATCTCTCAGTGTGTGTGTATCTGTGGAATTACTTGCAAGATGATGTAAATTGTAAAAGTTCATGAAGGGAGATTCAAAAAGCAGGAGAGATAAAAGTACAGAAGAAATCAGTGTTTCCCCAAACACTAACACACCTTTGACAAAAAGAGGTGCATCGCTTAGTGGAGTTTGGAAGATTATTCTCCAGATGCTGGAACTGTTTGAATAGACCTCCCTAATCATCTGGCATCAGCAACTGTAAATTGAGATACTGGGCTAGATGATTCCTTACTCTTCCCCACACAAGGAAGCAACATCCATGTTGTACGGTGCATCCCTTGAGTTTTCATCAGAGCACATCATCTGGAATGAATTTTCAGTGTCACATGTACTACTCCCTTGCCGAGAAGATAATTCCCAGCTATTCATTTTCAATATTCTGTCTTGAACCTCATGGCTTTTGTACACTGCAGCCTCTCTGTATCCTCAGCTCTGGAAGCTGCTCATACTGGACTTATTGATGACCTTCTTCAACTTCCTCCTTTGTAGAGCCAAGTTTAGGGTTTTGAAGAGAGTGTCCTTGCTGTTCAGAACATTGTAGCGATTCACTTCCACTAACCTGCTGAAATCATATGGCTCAAAGGTGAAATTTAGTGTACGGTAAGGAGAATCCTTTGACTCAATGATGAAGTCACCAAAGGATTTCTCTTCTTCTGACTCACGTTCAACTCCTGCAACAAGAAAGAAAAAAAATCATTAAAAAAAAAACCAGCCACGGTAGACTCCTTTTAGTTCAATTCCACTAGCAGTATATCACAGATAATTCTATTGAACCTTAACTTTTTCCCCAAAGCTCCTCTGCAGAGACTTCAGTTCCTTCCATAATATCTGGAAGCTGAAGGCAAAGTGCTATTATTTGGAGCCTCTTTTCACTAGGCTCCAAAATACAGTACTAAAATACATTTCCATTGTGATAAATTGTTTAGTTCATCTACGATCATGCTTAAAATAGGAAATATAAAGCTCAATTCTTCCTGGAAGTACTGTTCTACACTAAAATAAAAGACACATCATGAGTTCAACTGCCCTTGGGACTTTAGTATAAACTCTTCAAAATATGGTAACTCGTTTTTTTAGCACCCTGCCACTTAAATTTAAATACCATTTCGAAAGGTGAACATTAAAGTACTTTGCTAATAACACTTCACTTGTTGCTGTTAGAGAAATGAAAGTCTCAAGTCACATTCAAGCCCAACACTTTGAAACTCTTCATCTTGATGAGGAAATGCGGCCAGGGCCTGGCAATCATTACAGTATTAATATAGACAGCATTAACAGTGTGCCTTACATCCCCCTTGCCTGCACCAGTCCTGCATGTTCTTTTCTATGTATTCCAATTGTTTTCTTCAGGATGCTGTTTTCTCCCTCATAGGAGAAAAAGGACATTGATTTTTGCCTGTCTCTTTTTAAAGGTAAATAGCTCCATGTTTCATCCCAGCACTCTTACCTGATAGACTTTACAGCCTATATGAATCACATTAAATGAAGAAAGGATCATTTATCACCTGATCTCACACTACAGGGGCACAGGCCACTTAACACGAGTTACATGATCTGACATACAGATTGGTCCCCAATACCTTGCTGCTTAGTGGTTTATTCTAATCCAATAAACAAATGAACTCCTTATTTAATCTGATTATTAGTTCTTTCCTATATATTCAGAGTAACTAGAAGTAACAGAATCAAGTATCAGAGCAGATAGGTTCAGAAAGAAGCAAAAATTTAGCCTAATTTTGATTCTTTTGGCCCTTAGGTTTTATTTTTTTGTCAGCCTCTTCTCCCACTCTCCCTTCCAAAAAACTAGTGGAAACTCATTCCGCCTTAAAGGTACATAACAATTTAATAATTACAGGGTAATACTAAGATGAATGAAAAGAGGAACACTGAGTACACTGAATTTTCCCCATCAACACACCCAAAGGATTGTTACAAGAGCTCTTTAAGATATAGTTCCTTTACCTGGAGCCTTGTATTTCTGGAAAGTGTCATTCACTAATGGGAAATGGACTACAATTGGAGCCTTTGGATTATTATCATCCACAAACATGTAACACTCCTTTGGCTTCTTTTCATCTTCCTCACTAAATTTGATTTTTGGAAAAGGAATGTCACGCTCCTCACAATATTTCTGAGTCAGCTCTAAAACCTGTTGTCAAAGAATAAAAAAAAAATTGCAACAGAATACCAGCTACACCTCTAAGATCATCTAACTACAATTCTCAAAGGGAAAGAGACTTTGACCAAAAAAAAAAAAAAGGGGGGAGGAGAAATGTGACAGAACCTCAGCTTCAAATCAGCAGAAACAATGTCTCTGGCTGGTGATATAGAAGAAAGAAGAGCAGAATTGAGAACTGCTAGCAAACATCAACAGGTTGCAGCTGAAATTTTTTATGTATCTAAATCTATTCACCTTGACTTTTCTGCACTTAAAAATGAACACTTTTATATACATAAAATAACTTGTTTGCATGAAGAAAATCACCAATAACCACTTTTCCTTTAGAAGTGTATATCAAGGATCTTATGAGCCAAACCTTCCAGTACAAAAGGGGGCTTACAAGAAGGCTGGAAGAGGGACTCTTCATAAAGGCATGTAATGATAGGACAAGGGGGAATGGCTTTAAACCAAAAGGGTGTAGGTTTAGATATTAGGAAGAAATTCTTTACTCAGAGGGTGGTGAGGTACTGAAACAGGTTGCCCAGAAAGGCTGTGGACTCACCATCCCTGGAGGTGTTCAAGACCAGGCTGGATGGGGCTTTAAGCAGCCTGGTCCAGTGGAAGATGTCCCTGCCCATGGTAAAGGGGTTGGAGCTAGATGATCTTTAAGGTCCCTTCTAACCCCGGTTATTCTATGATTCCATGAAAGACATAAGGATTTATTTTAATTTATTTGTTAATTAGAGTGTGTATTCAACATCCACTGATCTGCTGTCATTTTGAATATGGTTCTGTGCTTTTATGTTCACGTAATAAATAATGTTCTGCTACATCTCTCACCTCAAATGGAGCTTCCCAGGAAAAATTGAATGACAAGATAACATCCACATCCCTCTCTGGCTGAAGTACCAAAGGAAAGGGAGAGTTGATAGAAAAGCCACCATCCACTAAATATAAGCTCTCTTCCATGGGGGTCAGCTGGTTGGGAAATGCATCCAGATGAGTACCTGTAAGATACTCCAAGTAACACAAGTAACTATATTGGTTCATTACACACCTCTCAGTAAAAGCAACAAACAAAGCTTATGCTAGTGTTATAAGAAGAAAAAAGACATTCCAACATGCACCTTTATCTGAGATTGACCTGTGAAGTCTTATGATGAGCTTGTCTTATATGACAGAACAAACACAGTGGATCAAATTTTTTGCTATGGGGTAAGAAGGGGTATACTCTCCGACTTCAGTAGAATAAAGTCAAGCTCACTTATGTTCTGTGATGTTGACAAAGTATTAACATATTATTTAATATCCCAGACACAGACTCATTTACCTCTCCAAGTCACAAATTTCTTGATGTTAACATAATCTTTATGAAGATACAATCCCCTCATGAAGTTGAAGGTTTCTCCACATGTGACCCGGGACTTGAAGAAATCCTGAAAAATTTGTAGCAAGGGGCCCCCAGGTATAACCAAGCGAGTCTTCAGTCGTGCTGGGTCTCGGAAATGGAATCTTCGGCAGTCATCTGCAGAAGTTGCAGAAGGATGCAGAACACAAACAAAATGCTTGTCCAGGTCCAATATTTCAATCAGACCTGTTTCTAGAATATTTAACCAGCTGTCCTAGGGCTGAATTTCTCCTCCAATAAGAGTACTGTAATGAAATGTAAATGAGCTCCATATGCCATAGTTGGACGATTTACGTGCCCTGTTTAATGGATATAGCATTACTCATAAATCATTGCCCATATTAATTTCAAACAAAGAAACCCTTGTTACCAAGTGACAACAATTTCTGTCACATAAGACAACATCAGTCAAGCACACACAGTAGCATTTATAGTTACACAACAACAAAAAGGGTGGGGTGGGGGGCCAACTAGGGCTGCAAAGGCAGAGAAGAAAAAATCTCTTCTTCCACTAGTTACTATAAGGCTATAACTATGCACAGGAATAACTTTCAGCCTTTAAAACACTTCCTTTTCACTGTCTGGGGGGCAATGTATAAATGGAGATCAGTGCATAAATATACAAACAGTTTATCAAAAATTACAAAAAGCAGGACAAGGGGGAAACTGAAAGCCTTTTTTCCACCTCCTGCTTAGCAGTCCAGCTTCTATTCTTCCTCTTCTCACAATTACAACTCCTACACTGCAATATGTGTTTAAGACAGCTCCCAGAACTCGTTCAAATTTATAGTCAAAGTCAGATACAAATTTTTTTAAAAAGAAGGAAAGGAAAGTGTATTAAAGAAAATGTAATTCCTCTCTTCACTTTATGTGTGAACAAAGGGAATAACACACAGTAAAAGAGAGATCTGTCTAAATCCATCCTTAATGATAACTCTTGAAAACTACACACAGCACATTTTTGAGTCATATTATTGCGATTATTCTAAAACCAGCAATCTTTTGAAAAATCTAGCTGCTTTCATGCATGCTCTTACCTACAACTTTTATAACATCTTTGAAAGAATCTAGAAAGCTCAGTCCTATACCAACCACCTTCAGGCAGATGTCATCCAAGCTTGCCGCAAAAGCACTGCCCCACATTCCTGCAGGAGACATGTGGAAGAATTTAGTACTCAAAAGGCTTTACATAGTGCAACCAAAAGGTCTATAATTCCATTGCCATTTGTCATGGGAGAAGGCTGTCACTTGATCCCTACTGTTTTAACAGCTGATGTTTGAGTTAATCATGTAACAAATTCTGATGTAAAAATATAACGTGGAAATTTTTCCTAGAGAAAAACACTGAAAAGACAGTAGGGGAAGACCTACAGTAGACATTTTTGATAGGCAGCTCATAATAGAGTCATCTTGTAGACTCAGGACATCAGACTGTAATATTATGAACCAATACCTAAAACTCTGGAGAAAGACTTGACATTTTTTACTTCAAGTTCTTTAGCAAGGGACAAAAAGGCATGGACTTAAGCTCATGAGTCCTGAAAGCAGCACAGTTCCTTTCCATCTCCTCATTTGAATCATTATCATAAGATCATACCTTGTAGAAAACAAATCCTGGGTTCTGGATGTTTCCGGATAAGTCGTCCCATGAAGAACTCACTGTCAAAGTCCTCTGTTCTGACAAAAGCTCCGTATTTGCGAAATCCAACTTCATAGGGAGTGAACTCACACCATTCTAAGAACAAGTCAGTAGGATATTTACTCATCTCAGAAGAAACATAAGCAAAAATATTTATCTGGTATTGTTCACACAAGGGAGACAGAAGGGAGTTTCCCTCCACTTTTCATGATTACTATGGATTTCCCTGCCTCTCTTCTCAGTAAGCCTCTATCTATTATTAATTTTTTAAAAAAGCATCTATTATTAACAAAAACTCTTGTACAGGCTTTCATCCGTCTTGATTTTGCCACTAGAGAAACAAGTTGCCTATTTTACTTTTACTTTAAACCATTTTGATGGCTCCCTTTTCCATCCCAAACGGAAGTTACTTCATTTTTCTCAGCTTTTCTTCACACTACATACCATCTCTCAGAAACTACTACAGTACTAAGTTGAAAAATCGATTCGCCCACAGTGTCAGTCTTCATTGTCTGCCTATCAAAATGTCCCCTTGTGCCTGAAAGATTTCTACAAATAGCTGAAAGGTAATCAGAAAGATCGTCAAGTCCAACTCCTGGCCCTGTACAGAACAATCCAAAAAAACACAGCATGTGTGTGAAAGCATTACCCAAATGCTTCTTGAACTCTGGCAGGTTTGATCAAATTAAATTCATTCACAACTTCATATGACATCAAATTAATTCAAACTCCTCCAGAATAAAATAAACAAAGAAAGAAGTCCCCTAGAGGTACACAGATGGACATAAATATTTGTGATTGTGTCTCCTGTATCTATCCCCACTTGTTGCATCATGTTTAAAGTCTCAGTGAAGGACTGGCCTTCCATTTTTTACTGTAAGAACTCAAGCTTCTAAAATCCATAATTTTGATGATGCAAACTACAAGGTGGTCAATCCATCATTTTACATGAATCCTACAAAAATTATTTATTTATCTGAGACTTTAAAAGAAAGTGGTCATTTAATTACTAAGGACTCTAATTCTCTGATTCAGACACAGACATGTATTATAGGAATCTTCTCGGCTCCTGAAAATTTCAGGCAGTTTCTAGCAAAACATGTGGAGTGGTCAACAATGTTGAATCTCATTTCTCCATTTTAGCCATGATGAAGACATTTGCTATCAGGATGATAACACTCTGCCAATCAGTATCCTGTTGCCTCTTGCACTACCAACTGCTGCTTGAGCCACATTTCCTGTTGTCAGCTGCTCACTACCCAAGGAACTGGATAGGTGAAAGGAATTTATTGATTTTAGCAAACAAAAATGAATTTCCATATACCTGCAAAGTCACCACTGCTCATATTGGGTCTCACATTGACAGCTGCATAGATAGGGTAAGGGTTCTGGGCCCATTTCACTGCTTCTTGCTGATCAGACAGCTTTGATGGGTCTTCCTGGTCACAAGCAGGGAAGGAGAAGCACACTTAGGCAAGCTCTGTACCCATGGAAGCTGTTGCTTAGCACTTCTGATTAACAATACTACTAATTCAAAGTCCCTTTTTGTCCCACTGTCAAGACACATGGTTAGTTTGGCCAAAATATTTCTGCAGTTGCATACTTAGAATGTCTAGTGTTATTAATGAACTCAATATCCCTCTGATTTCCAGTTTCAGTTACATAGAAAATATTGCACAGTAATGCCATTCTGCAAAACTAATATCATTCTCTCAGGTTTAACCTGCCCAATACAAAAGCTATTAATTTAATAACAGTCATTCCAAGAAAATACAGCTTTTTTTTCTATAGCACTGATCTGCATGACTTGAAAATTCTTGAATAAAGAAGATACTATGTTTATTGCACAACGCTGTCTATGCCAGAACAGCTCACAAAGGTGGAGAGTAATTGGTTTCTTGAAATAAAACAAGTGGGTATGTAGAGCTCCCACCCAGAAGACAAAAAGCAGTACATATCCAAACATAAACCCTTTTACCTTCTGCTGTAGGAAAAATTCCACAATAAGGCCCCACAAATCTGTAAAGGAAACTTTCCGTCCACTATTCTCCATTGCATTCAGCTCCTGGAAATAGTATTTCAGTCGTTCTGGGGAAAATGCCCCTGCTTTGCTGCTGGACACAGCACCCTGAGCTCTTCTGATTGCATCTTGAAGGTCTTTCTGTGACCAGTTGGGGTCTTGATACAGTGTCGATAAACACCTGAAAATGCTTATATTAATGTCATCAGTAACAAAGATCCTTGTGTAAAAAAAACTTTTAGCTAGTTATAATTAGTGCTGCAGCACTTGAGAAGTCCAGTTGAAAGACAAAACATCATGAAGAGTGCAGAGTCCATAAATAAAGGTTCTCTGAATTCTAAAATGTGTTGGCCACCCTGACACCTACAGGACAACTTCATCCCAATTGATAAATTGCCTCCCAAGGATGTTTCAAGCATCATATGCAGGCACACATAAACCAGTTCATAAACCTGAGTTAACTCCAGACCATAACAACTATGATAGACTGGTTGACAGCAAGGGTGCTATTGCATGCAGCAATAGAGGCCATAGCCTTCATCAGAACACAGGTCTGATTAAAGAAAAAACTAGTTTGGACCATTGGCTACATTTGTTTGGAAGTGTCTCTGAGTCAAAAGGGGCCGACCAGATCACAAGGTCAGTGGAAGAGAACCAGGTACATAGGAGTTAATTTAACACACAAAGGTCTGGAAGGGAGGGTTGCACTGTCAGGTTGCACAACTTCTCAGAGAAATCATTTCACAAAAACAACGTGTACGTAAAAGGGATGACTTCATCACAGACTTCAAGAACTGAGATACTGAAACATTCTAGCCATGTCTAACATTTCAGCACATTGCTCCAGTCCACCAAAAGGCAAAACAGTGCTGTGCCTCTCTTCAGCCACTTACACCATTTTGGAAGGTGATGACATAGTGGCCCATGTGGACATGTTTCCAGTGACTTGCACCACATCAGTTATCTTCTTGGCAAGAGTAGAGAAGGGAGGAGGGGTTTTTAAGTCAGTGCCTTTATTGATGTAATACATTCTAATATTCAACTGTCAGACCTGCACAAGCAGCAGATTCATAAATTTAACCAGCAGTTGCATGGGTTGGACATGAGAATGAATCCCTTAAACTCTTCAGGAGTCTTACAGGTGAAAACTGATAAAATATTAGACTTTGTTGTCTGACTACTGATGGTACAAATGCAATTTTGGTTTTATTTTGCATCAACACTAAGTTTCTGGAGTCAGCACTGCATACAGCTTACCAAGTAGAGCCAGAAATCCCACACAGGTATATTGCAGCATCCAAAAGGCCCAGCTGCTGAAGCCCAGCAAGACTACCATAGAACGACGTCAGTGCTCTCATCCCACCTCCAGACCCCAGTACTGCTATGACTGGAACCTGCAGACAGCAAACTCAGGAGTCACAACTACAGACTTTTGATTGCCAATGAATTATAGAACTAATCTCATTCAAGTCTCACTCAAATTTAAAAAAAAAAAAAAAACAACATACAAAAATCAATATTTCTATTTACTTTTCCAGTGATTTCAGGTTTGATTTCAAGCAGAACTCCTTTCCCTATTTTGTAATTGAAATATACTGTTTACTATAAAACAGCAGGGTCAGTTAGGGACAGTCACTTACTGAAACTGTTATGTATACTATCACACATTTACTTTCATACAATATATGTATAAGCACAAAAAAGGCAACTATTCTTATAACAGCAGCCAAACACCACCAAGCAAGGCATCAGGCCATGGCCTATGTAGACATAACAGTGTCCTCAAATAAGCAATTAGGAAGCTATTCCTGTGGTTTGAGTTTTAATTTAAACATTCTGAAACAGACTTTCCCATCACAGTTCCAAGTCTAAAACCCAAGATACGAGAGTTCAACAAAAGAAAGTGCATACATTCTGAAATTTCAATGTTTTGCATTCCAAAACACACACACACCCCTCCCTCAAAATTTAAGAAATATAACAACATTTGAGACTTCAAAACTAAAACATACCAGGGATCTATCTCACACCACAGTGAAAGTAAAACATGTTTTCTGTTATAGGCAAGGATTTTTACACCCTCTAATTATCAACCAAGCATAAAGGATTTTATCAATCTCATTACAGCACTGTGCTCAATACCTCATCTTTTGGAGGGGATTCTTTTAAGTGAAGACTCTTTCTCAGTGCCTCAGAAACTACTTTCTTCCTTTTGTCCAAAAATTCTCTCTCCTCTTTACAGAGGTCGAAACCCAGACGTATATCAAGATCCCAAGTGCTGAAATAGAAGTCAAGCAAAAATACACCCAGATTTTGGAGGATTTGTAATTTGCATGAAAAGAAATTTTTGTGAACACAAAATCTGGGTGCTGATCTGAATTACTGGATCGAACTATTAGATGAAATTTTAGTATATACACCAGCTATTTTGTACAACAGCTTTTGGAATTGAAAATGAAACTTCTCCATACTGTATTTCTCCCTTAATGTTTAAATTCAAAATTTGCATCAAACAGTATTCAGGAATTAATTAAGCTTCAGGATTAAGCTTCAGGAATTTCACAGAGGAAGAAAATATTCTCGGTAGGTGAAGAAGATTGTATGAGGAGCAACTGACATCACTGTATTGACATGAATGGTGAAATGAGGGGAAAAGCAATTTTAAAACAGGAGTTTCTGAACTTAAGAGGCAGAAGGGGGCAACTGCAACTTCAGTTCAATTAACTTGCTATGAGTTCATAAAAGGGGAGCAGAATCTTCAGATGACTGTATATTAAATGACCTTATCAACTTACTAGCCAACTGCTTGGTTTTCAGTTATTCTTTCCTTTTTACTCCTTTCTTGCACCCTGCATCTATTTTATAGTTCAGGTTCTTCACACACAGAGGTGTCCTTTCCTATTTGTCAGTACAGGACTGAATATATTTTGGGAAGTATCTGTACCTAACAAAACTACTTAATATTTACATCATCAGCTATTTTACATTTAAGCATTAGGAACACAAAATTTGTACAGCTCTCAGCAGTACTGACACCAGCACAGTAGATAGTATTTGGAAATTGAAGACTCAGAGCTTTAAGAAGAAAAATAATCAAAGATATTTTCTTTTATTCTATCCCAAAAGATCAGTGGACAGAAGAGATGTCACCAGAACACTGAGGAGAGTCACTCAGTTCCTTTACTATGAGAATAAAGGCACTTCCTCATTTTTAAAGGACTTTGAGATTCCCACTCACCTCTCTTCAGTTTTCAAACTCATATCCAAACTTTGTCCCTGTGAAAAGAGAGAACACATGTTACAATTGATAGCAATTATACAGGTGGAACTACTAAACAGAGGTTATGACATCAACAGTGTCACCAGATACTAACCAGAACAGTACTCTCACTCATAAAATGACATCTCTGGAACACCTTTCCCTTGCACCTATTTCAGACATTTTCAATAGTCTCCGCAGAAAGCAAAAACATACTCAGAAAGCAGCGTGAAAGAAATTATTTCTTCTGCAAGTGTCTTGCTTTTCCTCCTCCTCTCATAATTTTCTTTCACACTCTGATAGACTTTTTTGCTCTAGAAAGTGATGAACTTCATGCTTACTTTGCAAGACCCCACTGTGAAAACATTTTTAGAAGAACTTCACTGAGTAATCTCATTATTTCATTCTAGATATCCAAGAAAACAGCACTCCTGAGAATTACATGTAGCCTAACTTTCCAAATGCCTAAAGGCATTGGAGGAAAAAGTTATCCCATGCATGCTAAAACAAATGCAAAATATTGACATTACCTCTCCCAAAGAAATGATTCTATCAACTTTTTCTCCAATAGGAAGGGAATTAACTGGTACAGTTCCCAATCCCAGAACTGTGGTATGCTTTTCAACATCAGGGTTCATGCCATCCTAATAAAAAGTAAAATCTTAATTGAGTTCCACAGAAAAAAAGTTAAAGGTATGACTTTCATATGTCAAAACAGCAAACAATTCTTAATATCACTATAGCTAAATCTTTCTCAGAAGTCTAAGGCTTTTCAAGAGCATCCTGCTTTCTGCTTGACAGATCTTTGTCAGGATATTTCTTTCATTTAAATGGGGTTTTTTGGTTTTTGTTTGTTTAGGGGGGTTTATATGTTTATTGTTCTTTGCTTTCTTTAATATACCTGTCTGCCACAAGCAAAAAATCTTCACCTTCAAGTACAAAACTTTCCCCAAAAATAGTTGTGTTCTTGCAATCTGTCTTTGAAGCAGGATTTGGAAAAGATACCAACAAAGCAACAGCATGAGACATACATAAAAAATACTACAAAATAAGCAATAAGATAGTTGCCCTAGGGACAAGATGATAGCATGTAATTTAAAAAACCTAATCAATTTTAAAAGCAGAGAAAATTAAAGTTTGCCAGGAAATCCTTGAGCTTTCTCCCGTGTAGCAAGTGACAAGCTCTCAATACTGAGCTGTGTGCACATTCCTAACTTTAAAAGATATATACTGAAAAAAACTCATATCAGAGGGTCACACTGAAACCTACACAGCCTACCAGGTGGGATGGAGCCCATACATCCACCACAGGGTTCAACCCTTGGGAAGAGACAGCATCTTGAAGGAACAACAGGTTGTCACCCTTCTCACACCAAGAACTGAAGTCAGACAAGGAACTACTCATAGATTTCACAGATGTTTTCTGACCAATAACAGCTGTCCTGAGTCCAGTGTCCAACTAAGCTCACTATCCTCCTCCTCCTAACAGGGAAAATAACATGCATTTAGGTACAGGGTAAGCAACTCTACCACGTTCCTGGCACTCTCCTACCTCTGATAGAAGAAGAAAGGTCAGACTTTTATGCTCTAGGCCAGCCATTGAAGGAGTATGTTCTGCTAACCAAGGTGGTTGGGCTGAGGTTTACCACCTGCTCCAATCTCCATGGTTGACTTCTACTGTGTTTTTGCTTGCCCGGCTCTGAGTCTTTGACCACTTTAGTCCAGGTCTCTCTCTTCAACTCATGTCTGCTGCCTAAACAACCCCATGTCAAACCTATTCTTCTGCATACTTTCTTGTGTCCTCTTCTCCATAGTTGCCTCTAGAGTAGTCAAGATCACCATTTGCAATCATGCTGCCCAACAGCTTGTGGGCATGAAAACATCATAGAATAAAGAGTTTCCTTGCTCTCATTTTTGGTGGCAACAGTCATCACAATGAATATTCAGTCACTCCAATAGGATGCACACACTGCATGGGTACTTGTACAGACTGCAAAGTAATAGACAAAGCTAAATAAACCTTTACAAGTGGCAACTGATTTACAAGTTTCTAATAGAAAGGACTTCCTACAGAGCATCTTCATGCAGCAAGCATGCACAGAGTTAAATTTCTTTAATCCCTGAGTTTGAAGAAATTTTAAATTGTTGGGGAGTGTATATTTTTAAGACAATTTCACCTCCTTATGCAATGTCAAAGACACAATGCAAAGTCTGACATTTTAAAACAAAAAAAATAGTACTGTGTAAAAAACAATGATAGATAAAAACTTATCTCTCTGCCCATAAATTCCTAATACATGCCCAGAAAAAAATACATTCATTCAAGGCAAGCTTCTAGCCTAGAAAATTTTGGTCTGAGCAGTTACAATATTACAAAGTTGCATCCAAAAGGTACATCTGGAAGTGACTAGGAGCCTTTTTAATAGTTGGTCCCCAGCATCACACAAACATTTTACTTCATAAGAGACTTCCTTTAATGCAAGCTTTTGACATCCACAGGTACCTGAATAAAAACCAAAAACTGACATCCCTGAACATCCGAAGAAGTCTCTGGTCCTCTTATGATCAAATCAAGGTCATTCAATTTATATTTAAGGACATTTTCATGGAAATAAAGTCACCAGTTTCGGAGTGGATTTACTCAAAAGTGGGTTGTAAATTTTGTAGTAATCAGCATGGATGCTTACCTGTAGAACAGATATGGTTTGCTCCAGCTGCACTTGCAGTTCTGGACACATTTCTTTATCCACATGAAAAACAAATGAGGTTCCATAATGCTTCTCATTATCTGGTGTCCAAGGAATACTCAACTGCTTTTGATATGCCCCTGGGACAGACAACTTAATTTCACAGCACCCTGTGCATTAGAAAAAACAGTTTAGACCACAGGAGCCATTTAAATAAATGTTGAAAATCAAGTACTTGTTAAGTGTAGCTGAGACTATGAAAACACAAGCAAAAACTCTATTGTGTGGTACTCAGTAGAAGTGACCCTATATTATTAAGTATTAAAAATAAAAGCAAAATTGATTTAAAAAGTAAATTTTGTAGTCAGCAAATTAAAATGCACTGTATAGACAGAGAATCAAGTCTCCCTTCTCTCCCAAGGAATAAATATGTTGATAAGTAGTGCTGACTTCAACTCTACAGGCAGCCCTACCTTGCTGTTTCTCTTTTGTGTTTTCCTCTTTGTTAACAGTGCCTTGCAGAGACAAGCAAGGATGAACCTATGTAAAAAAGAAACCAGCTCTGGTTATACAATTTTTAGTTCACTTCTTTGTTGAAGTTTAATCCACCTACTATATGAGGTGTAGGTTTACAGATGCAAGCTGTCAAAAAAACCACTAAGGATTGTTTTGTTATTTCAAATAAAGACCAAGTTTTGTTTCACTAGGACAGGATTATTTGCTCTTGTTTCAAAATCAAAACCACTCTCCTTATTCCAGTTACTGCAGTTTTTTGCAACCAGTACTTCATAGTTACAAGCTGTCAACACCTGGGGTTTTTCTGGGTTTTTACCTTTTTTTAATGCATGTATGAGTACCTATTCAGAACCTGTCCAGAAGCAAGCACTTCATAAATTCTGCCATGACTTTCTCTCCCAGCTTGTCCACGTCCTCATAAAATTTAGTCTCTCACACCATTCCATCATCACCCCTCTAGGACAGTAGGTAAGATACTTAGTAGGCCACAATTGCCCTAAAAGAAACTACTCTGCTGCCTAAATGTAAGACTAATTGGCTAAGGCAAATTGGAACACAAAAGCTTCTCTCCTGTGAAACAGTTTGCAGAACTGCTCTGTTAAGTGCCACCAATTTTTCAGGAAAAAAAAGCTAAAACTCTGCATTTCAACCTTACAAAAAACATGACACGAGTCCCTTTTCTTTGGAGGGAGAAAAGAGGTAGTAATACCTTTATTTTTAACGTATAACACACTGATTTTCTTAGATTGATTCACCCAAGAGAACAGGGAGGCAACACCTACTTAGTAATGGCATTGATAAAAGCTTTGAAGTAATACATGTTAAAATTAGAAGAGGGACTATACCTGGCCAGCATCTAGGCTAGAAAACACGAAACCATCTTCAAGACTCACTTGCCTCATAAAGACATTTTTTGTTTACATTTTTTATAGCAGCCCTACTGGAAAAAAAACCCCAAACCCAACAACAAAAAACAAGCCACACCTTTCTGCGAGCTACTATCAAGTTTTAGAAATTGAGGAAGATTTTTAAATCAACAAATTGAAAAAAGAAAGGCAGATGCTGGAGAGAATAGGAGCTATTTGGAAGCAGGAGTGGAACACTTAACAATTCTTTCTACTGAAAACTTACCTTCTGGAGTAAATCACAACATATATGATTCTGACTTCCATGTACTCACCACAAGGACTCCATTGGTCAATACCTCTGTAGGGACATCTGAGCTGAGAAAGCAAGAGATTTAACGTAAATGAGTTCTGTTTCTAATTTGCTTCATCCTACTTTGCAAACTAACTGCCTGGATAAGCAGTGGGGTAAAAAGGTCCTCACTGGGGGATATCTGTGCAAACACCAAGCATATATCCCTTCACAGAACAACAGAGGTTGGGAAATAAAAAAATCTGTCTGCAACTATAAGCACGTGCTATAAGATCTCTCAGTTATTGTGATAACTTAGAGAAAAACTGAGCTTAGATAGGCTATCAGATAGATTAAATACTCATTTGTGTATTTCACATGGTGAACTGTGAAAGCCTTCCAGTCCTAAGTAACTAATGCACAAAGTGTTCATTTACTTCTCATGGAGTCCAGCAAAATTTATTTCTTTTTTGGTACCCCAAAAGTTTTGATGACTGGAGCATTAAGGATATTCGTGGTCAACCTTTAATGAATCAACTCAAACACCATGGGGAACTATAAAGCATTAGCCTTTCTATAGGCAAGACTGTCCCTGCACAGAAAAGGTAATGAAGACAACATATTTTCAGAGCTCAATTTCATTCAGCTCTTCACGTAAGACTCACCATTTCTCCAAGTAAAACTCTACATCCAGCTCTTCATTAGCCTTTGAAAACAAAAGTTGAACACTGGTGACCCTTTATCTTGAATATATAATTATTAGACATTTTTCCAAGAGATTAAGCTTTCTTCCTGTTACATACTTATAGTAACCTCCTGTTAAAGTAACGGCTTTTATAAAAGTTCCAGTTAAATTTTGAAATATTTAAATTTATGCCTTTAGTTGTTCTTATCGTTTCTTAACATTCCTCTCCTCCTGGACATATCCTATATGACCAGACACATCTATGTTTGAAGACACAAGTGCACACAAGTGAGAGTTGGCTCTCAGATCCATTACTCTGCTATGAGAAGAAAACCTTCCTCTGGCTCAAGTCCCACTGCAGCCCCATCTCTGCAAATACCTTCTACATGAGGTTTTGTGCTACCTCCCAATTATTATTATCATTTCAGGACTTGCACTCTTAGGTCATTGCTGTATTTGTGTTCTAGAGACTTCGATCCAGCCATCTTTTCTCCTACCATAGTATATAGTACATATTTGATACCAGACATAATGCAGCTTTTAAAATAACCAAGTAGAAGTTAACTTAGATAATTTTCTTTACTAAAGTCGGAATTTTCAGATCCACAATTATGGATCAAGATGACTTAAGTATTTAGCAAATTGGTAGAGTTAGTGGGAACAAGGGAGTTACCAAGCTTCTTTCCATGATGACAAATCATTTGGAGTGCCTGTGCCACTGCCCAATGTCTCCCTGAGAACTGCATACCAGTTAGCTTGCTTCTGACCACACCAACAGTATTGAAGCCCAGTTTCTCAAGAAAACACATCATTAGTTCACCTTTAATCCTGATCCGTTGTAACAATGTGTTTGTGGTATTTACAAAATAGATCAGATTGGTGATGAGGCTTTATCTATGTAAAATAGGCTGTCTTGTTGTAAGTCCATAAACAGGTGCACAGGATTTGAGAGCAGTTGATACACACATCACCCACATAAAGCAGAGGTTTAAGGTACTGAACATAGTTCAGAGAAAATAAGCTTTTCTTAGACTTCGGACTTATTAGATATAGAGCTAATCTCTGCAGCAATAAACTTCTTTTCCGCAAACTGATGATGCCAAACCAAATAACAGTCTATATTCCCCATAATGATTACTGACTGCAAATGTCTTTCATTTTAAAACCAGTTTATGTTCCTCTAAGTCTCGTGAAAAATCAATTCCCTTTAAATGAAGATGTTTTAACATCTTCAGAATGAGAGCAGTAATCTCAAGTTTTATTTAGCTGGGGCATGCCAAAGGCTGTGGAAAACACATAAAATCACTAGGGATTTTAGAAACATCCCAGTTAACAGTAAAACCACATATGCTGTCATCACCTGTTGATTCATTTTTCCCTTCTAGCTTCTACAACACAGACAAGTCAACCAGCACATACTGCCAGATATCGTAATGATGAGCTGCAGCTATTCACAGCTGAGCCAGGGACTAACCTCAGGGTTCAACTTGAAAGTGCGCAGCAGGGGCCGACCCAGCTTCATGCCCCCTACATCGAAGACGATAGACGTGAGCTCATCACTGACAAGGACATCCTTATCATAGAGTGTCAACTCCAGAATGTTCTAAAACCAAACAGAAACAGCCTAAGATCAAAGGGCAAACACTTCCTGGGTATCTGTATACAACAGACACTCTGCATTAATCAAATACCTTTCCCATTCCTGAAGAAAATTCACTATTTTCAGCAGGGCTTACAGCATAGTTAAGAAAAAAAAGCTCCTAGTTGACAACATGTAGCTAAAATATTTTCTGAGCTTCCCAACTAGAGAGAGGTTCCAGTTGAATGCATGTGACAGTACTTTCTACCCACTTCAGGCACAGATTTGCCTGAGGAAGCAATAGCAATTTCCGCTCTTCTAGCACGATTCAGTCCAGGATGTTAAAGGGACTGATCACTTCCTGCTTGGCACTGTCTCAGAGCTGGTAAATTCAAGAAAAACTAACTGAAATAGACACAATGAGTACATATGGCATCCAAAAAAAAATGGCACTGCAGCAACTAGTTTTCAAGGAGACAAGTCTAAATGTAAAATTGTGCCGGTATAGTCTCGCAGCAGTAACCAGACTGAGGCCTCATAAGTCTGCAGGGGAAGAAAAGCTAAATACTAAACCTTAGTTTTCAATTTTCTTACCATTTAAGCCAATTAGCATTCCTCATTTGTCACCAACCATTGTGGAAAGGTACTCCAGTGAGGGGGATAGTTTCTTGTTAATAAGCACCTTATTCCAAAGCCTAGGATGTTATTCAGAGCAATAGTACCATACTAAAACTGACCTTTTAAAGTACAGTTTCTTTCCCTGTACCATTAATGGCTACTTTGAGAATGAATGCTGACAATCTGAAGACTTTGTTCAATGCTCTACTAGGTCCTGCACAGACAGCAGACAGATGTACTGTCCCTATCCAAGAGTTTGACTTTTGGTTTTCTTCATCATAGAAACTGATGGCAAAACTTGACTGCACGAACTAATGGCAGTGAGTATTAATTTGGTTCCCATTATCCTCATTCAGACAGCTACACTGTGAAAGTAGAAGCAAACATCAAATAGAAACTTGTTTTATCACGAAATTTCCTTGAACTTTACCAGGTAGTGCCATAAATTCCCCTTCCTGAGTTGCATCACAAGGATGTTTATGGAACATTCTAGCTGCAATTTACACGAGAGTGCAGTTACAAACTGCTGTGGTTATCACTGGACATGCATAGTACAGCTTTTTGTACCACTGAAGGCAACTGACACCTTCCAAGCAACACTGGTTTTGAGGGTTGGTTTGAATGAAGTATCAAAAGCAAGCCAGTATACAAACACAAGTAGTCCAACCAGCTCCACAAAGTGCACTCTTTACCTTGACACCACTATGGATTCGATACTGGAAAGTTTCATTCCATTCTGGGTTATCAGAGTTGTCAACAACCTGAGTTCGGGAGACTATGGGAGATGCAGTGGGCAGCTTTAGTTCCACATAGCAGTCTGCCTTGGACACTACAGCAAAGAGAGCAGAGACAGACATCAGAACGACTTTAATCAAATGTAACTTTTCCCATAAACTCCTCATTTTCTAGATCTCATTGCATCATAGAAAAGTGCAAATTTAAGACTGGACTTCTAAAGCAAAAGCCTTTAATGAAGTACATGTTCTCAAACGGCAGCAAATTGAATATTAGGTACCTATATTTCTTTTTTTTCTGGTTCATCCAAATCATAAAGCCCTTAATAAAAGAAACTACTATTTTAAATGAGGAAGATCAAATTTTGAAAAATGATTACTGCTGATACCAGGCTCATTGCCTCTTGTCACTGGGCACCACTGAAAGAGCCTGGTTCCATCCTCTTAACACCTTCCTTTTAAATACTTGTACATATCAATGATATCACCCTGAATCCTCCACTGTGTCACTAAGTAGCCCCAGATCTTTCAGCTTTTCCTCATATGAGAGATACTCCATTTTTTTTACCACTGATCACCATCCTCTGAGTTTTCACTCCAGCTCCCTGTCTGCTCATCCAGCCCATACTTTATCAGTTTCTCTATGAGAATCTTGTAAGACACAGCATCAAAAGCTCACTAAAGTCCAAGTAGACAACATCCACCACTGCTATATCTTCATTTAGTCTGGCCAGGAGCTGAGCTGTCTGTTTCCATTCCCTGAAAATAACTGATTGTCTTTGAGTTCTTCTTTCTTCCAGTTAGGGTCCCTTCTTCAATGCAAGTATGGGAACAGTTCTTCACTCCAGCTGAACAGATAGGCCATGAAAAAGAACTCTTCACAGTGTGAATCTATCCCTCAGCCTCTCAGGAGGGTTTTCCATTCCTTGAACAGCTATTTAGCATTCCAAGTAGTTCAGTGCTGGATGCCAGATATAAACTTAAGGCAGACTACCTTACTGGATTAAATCTGAAGTAATTAAATCTCAAATGAGTTTTAAAGATCCAAATGCCTCAAACATTCCTGAGATCTTTACTTAGATGTGTAAATGGAAGGAAATATATACCATGCTATCAAAAACAGGAACAGATAAAAAGCAGCTTGTCTTGGAATCAGTCAACCACCTACTTCCTTAAAGGCTTCAATGGCAAATAGCAGGTACATGAAATAAAGCACTACTACAGCTGAGAAAATAAACATTTGGAAGCTTGAAGATTTCTATTCCGAGGTTCATGAAGACTGTTTAGCAGGGGTGAAACTTGCCATGACCAGAGGGCTGAATCCAGAGAAAGGAATACAGAATAGGTCACAGTAGGACAGGTGTAGGAGCAGGGAAGAAAAACATTATCAGGAGTTGATCTTGTTCAAAGTAGCACGCTTAATCTGCAGCTTGGCTCACATCAAGATTTTGAAGTATACATAATGCTTTACAAGAGAAGCTTTTGTTCAGACATAAAGGCAATACAGTATGTGTAAGTAAGAAGCTCCCTTAACAATGCTGCCTGTGTTAGAGGTATGCACTGACCAACCAACCTGTTTTCATAATACCTTGACTAAATACTTACACAGATCTGTACCCTTGATGTTTCTGGCTCGGAGGACTTTCACTGTTAGGTTGTAGTAAGGGTGCTTTTCCCACTGAAAAGAAAGGAACAAACTAAGTATTTAACTCAATTGCAATGCCTGTTCTATAAACACAGTAGAATAAGTCCAGAGAAACAGATCAGACTAGTCCGCCCAAAATAAACTACTAATGAGTCAGTTGGGGAATCTCTGCAGCACTTTCAGTGTCCTGGAGAAAGACCAAAGGAGACCAGAAGGAAACTCAATTCCCTTTCAGCAGCACGAGTGATATCTTAAAGTAACTCCTCATAGACTTCAGAAAATAAATCCCCTATTTAGGGTTTCCTCTAATTATAGATCAATTTTTAATTGCTTCTTTAGTACATTCTTACTGGACAATAAACAGATACTGAAGCTGCTGAAATAATTATGATCATGACTCGACTAGTTTAAGACTACTTGCCAAGGGCACATGCACGCTTGAGTAAAAGCAGACATGGCAAGAATCTTAACAGCATGGTCTCAAGACATAGAAGGCATATGCTTGTTACAGTGAGAAAAAAACCAACACTTTCTTGCAGGAACACATACTTCATGGCAGTTTGAGCAAGAAAAGACAAAACTTAAATTCCTTTTCATTCTGGACTATTACTGATATCAGCACTCTAAACATGCATGTGACTTTACCAACATAGATCAAAATGTAATCCGTGCTCTTGAAAGCTTCTGGGAGACTATTTTTGGAAAGTAATATTAGTATCTAACTGCCAGCATGTGAAGTGGGAAAAAAAGCCTGACTGGGTTCTAGAAGATTATGAAGGAAAAGTGGGGGGAGGGCAGGAGAAGACAAGAGAAAACAGCAGGGGGTGACTTACTACAGAGACTGTACAGAAATAATTGTGTAGGGCTCAGGAACAGAATGGGATTCTGCCTCATTTTCATCAATTATGACACAATCCTGGCCAGCTAGGAACTTTCTCTATTCTTAAATCACATTTTCAAAATGCTTTTCACAAGTGGTCAATAGCTTACATTCATAATTTCCTACATGGTTGGCTTGAGACGAGAGTTTAACTTCAGATACGCTAAGTATTCATCTACAACTGAATTCAACAGGATCTTCACTTACAAAAAAAAATGCTGCAGACTGACAGACTGAGGCACTGAAACAGATTTCTCAGAGAAGTTGTGGATGGCCCATTCCTGGAAGTGCTCAAGGTCAGTTTGGATGGAGTTCTGAGCAACCTGGTCTAGTGAAAGGTACCCCTGCTCATGACAGGGTGGTTGGAACTAGATAATCTTCAAGGTCCCTTCCAACCCAAATCATTCTATAATTCTATGAAATATTATATAAATACATACATATCACTACATACCACATATCACTAACAGGAATCTGAAGGAAGCCAGCGAACCTTGAACTGTTAACTCTTCTTGAATATTCCTTATCTGATAAATGGCACTATACTGTGTTTGTTAAGCAGTCACACATGGTAAGTTTTCCTCATTTTAACCACATGGAGATACTTGCCAGCTTTTGCAAAACAGGGTTTGAACAACACAATAAAACCAAAGCATACATAGTATACTGAATATCTTTGTACTAAGCAGGTACCATCCACCCTGACCAACAAGTGAAGAGTAAAAATTACATGCATCATCTAATATATCACACATGCAGGTACCAAAGTAAATTTGGACAAATAAAGCCCAATTATACTATTATTAAAGGACGCTTATTTTCAGCACTATTTTGAAGATACTTATTCCTTTATTTGTTTCTGAGAACAAGACATGCCTTTACATCTAATTTCACCATGAGCTTCACCCTTGAGATGCTAGTTTTTCTTCCTTTTTAAACCTTTCCTAATCACTTCTATTCAGTCACTACTTCAGACACTACTTTCTCAGGCAAAGCCTAACCTCCTTTCTACCTCAGCAAGTAGAGGAATGCATTACACAGAGAAATTCAAGATTGTGTGTCATTCCCACCAACTTCCTAAAGTTGCTGCAACTCTCCTAGTTTTTGAGAAATAAAGCTACATAATCACACTCCCACAGCTGTGAAAACCATCTTCACTCACATAGCCTGGCTATCACCTGAAATTCACACACTATTAGCAGAGGAAGCTCAGAACACCCTGAAGATAGCCTATGTCTCTTTTATTGTATACCATCTGTCAAAATGTAGTTACATGCTCAAAAAGAAGTCCTTTCCAAAGGTCCCTAACAACCTTTGATTTACAGCCAGTCATTACACAGCTGAGGATACATTTTCCACACCCAGATCATAATTTAAGGGCCTAGAACCCAATTGACATTTCACTGTGCTCCCAAGCCTGTGCTATCAATTATGCCAGAACCTTCTCATATGCCTTTTGTACTTATCTTTTAGCCAAGGCATAGCAAGGTCATAGCATGTTGCCAGGTGAGCTTGCAGAGTAATGAAGCATGGGAGTATCAGATATGCTCTATCTGAACGATCAAGGAAAAGGCAAGCAGGAAATCTGTATGGGAAACGGAGAACAAATACAGATGACAGTTCTGCCTATACCAGTATACGTGACAGCATACCAATATATGTGTCTGATGCAAGTAACTAATTTCTCCTTTGCAGTCTAATGATTTTTCAGAATCACTGCTTTTCCAGAGCTTAGGAGAGTCCATCTGAAGCAAAAAAACCCAACCCTTTAAATCCTAAAATGAGGTACAAGACTGAATTTTCGCATACTTAACTTCGCTAACAATTGTCAGTACCTTTCATCTAAACTGAAGGTGCTGATGCAGCAGCAAGCAACTGTAAAACTAGTCATCCCAGCTACAGGACCCAGTAGTCTTTACTCTCATATAGCCCAGAATAACTGCCTTTATTCAGTGAGATGGAAGTGTTCGGATCCACTCCACATCTGTCAGTGCATGCCAGTTGCATTATAAAAATGTTGTCATAGTAAATAAAAATATATATTTTGTGTTCACAGTTACTGGGAAAATCAGGTAGCTCAAAGAAATGTCCAGTATACCAATGGAGCACCTTCTCCCCATCTTGTTCCTGCTCCCAAGTAAACATGCTGCCCATTATTCCCTTCCTTGTGGCCAAGGTGTCACAAGTTCGCTTTTAAACTCAAAAGCAAACACCTGGCTTTCCTAGGCACTCTTTGCAGCTTCCCTCCTCCCCCAAGATTGTGCATCTGCAGTCATGAATGGAAGCTTACAGATGCAGCCTTAAGAACCATGGTCTTTTGGCAGGCAAGATTTATAGTTAGTCAGGTTACGAGTAGTGCTAGCAGCTCAGTAACAAAACAGCGGTGGCCAACACTGGGGTCACTCTCAGTTTATTGTTGTTTGCCTTTAGAAGTGTGAAAGTAAAGCCAAACTCTGGAAAATTAAAGAGATCTGATCATGTTAAACTCACTTACAAAGCCAAAAGGGTAATCTGCTGCCTCACTCCTTGCTCAATTGCTATCAATTAGACAATACAAAATCTCTTCCTACCAGCCAGCCCAACTTCACTAAGTAGTGTAAACTTTTAAAATTTTATTTGTATAGTAAGCACTTAAGGGGAAATATAACATTCAGTGGTTTGCAGGTTAATGGAGGCTAACACTAGCCTCTTCTACCCTGATTTCCCAAGTACTAAACAACAACATTAAAAAGTCAACAAGACAATTTTTATCATACAGCAAGCAGAAGTTCAGAAAGGCATACAGGTAGCAAGTAATTTTGTGACATTTAATGGTCATCTCAATTTTAAGTTGTATATTGAGGGATTAGTGTGAGACAACACGACACAGGTGATCAGATTACAGATCAGATCTCCTAGTCAAAGGCTCCTTCACAAACATTTAATGTAATTCAAAATTGAGGTTATTGGTCAGACCATATTACACAATGAAATGATTTTACACCAGTCAAAGGATAAACACATCGAAACCACCTTATCTGTTGTGGTTGCACTGCATTTTGAACAGGCACTCACATCATTATTAATATTTGTCTACTTAAAACCATTAATCCCTGTAGGATAAGACAGAGAGCATAAAGGAAGAGAATTGTAATCAAGGATATTTTGTAAGAAAACACATAAACATGGTTTTGTCTCTACTAACGAGAAGTGTAGTATTCTCCCCCTAAAAAAGTACTTGGCATCAGCTTGTGTTCCCCAAAAACTAAGGAAACGCAGACCTGCTCTGCATTTCCTCACACAGACTCTAAATTTAATAAAAGCCTCACATCTCTATTAGCATTATCGTTCAGGGCAAATTTTAAATAACAACAAACTTTTTAATTCCTGTGGAAGTACAGAACTGGTTTTCCACACACGCAGTAACAGGAAGTCACTACTGAACACATTGGCTAAGGAAAGCCATCTCAAAGACAGCACTATGATTTGTCTTACCTGCCAGTGATAAAACCCAGTCTCTTTCTTCTCCTTCCTTTGGAAAAGCACAGCTCCCAGGAAAGGCAGCACTCTGGGTGGAAGCGGGCCCTGCAGCACCTTATGGAACATGGGAAAAATGTCTTGCTGTCTCTGCAGAAAATCTGACAGGGACACCCAGAAAATAAGGAGAGTCCCTGGACGCCCGGCTGTGAAGCGCTGTTTGCTACAGACTGGTCTGAAGTTTTGCGCAGGACTGGGCTGCACTCCAGCTGTGAGAAACGGAGGTGTGGCCCGCACTTACCAAACAAGCCAGTTCAAAACCTTGTCAGCAGGTTTTGCAAATACTGGTATAAGATAAAGGCAGCAAAGCAGCACCAAACAGGGAAGTCCTGGGTAGGAGGAAGCACTGCTTTCTGATTAAGCCACAACATCAAAACCCCCAGTTCAGATCTTCTTTGAGAGTTCCAGCAACCTGATCCATGACTTTGACTGTTTTAAACCCTTTTCAGAGTTTCAGCATACTCTAACAGAGTATTTTTAAATAAATTCCCATCTTACCAGCCTGAAGCAAAGCCAAATTTGTCACTGACTGTAGCTGTCCAGAGAGGTTTCAGGGAGGCCAGAGTGAAGGCATCACAATTTCGTCTGCAACAGGGTGCCTCAGAGAACATCAATTCCCCACTATGTCTCACCTCTCACTATGTGAGCGGTCTGTACAAGTATCCCCTTTCTCCTCATTTACATATAGTACAGTCTTGATTCTTCCACCAAAGATTCTCAAAAAACTGCACAAGAGATAGGGCAGATTTTTTAGGAGTCTATCTTGCCTTAAAAAATATTTAAGTCATAAAAGAAATTGTTTACTGGGAGTGATTAGTTTATTAACAGCTGCTGGTAGTTGTCTTGCTGGAGCTTTTTTATTAAAGAGCATAAACAGAAACTGGAGACCAAAAGACAAACTTTAGTGTTTCGACAATTAAAAAGTGGTAGAAAATGTATGAAAGCCAGTAATGCAGCATGTCTCTAGCTCCATACAAACATGAGAATGTGACACATTCCCAGCAAGGTCCCATTCATTAATCATTTCCTGTCATTAGTGTCAGTCACCATACCAGAATTTAAGAAAATTAATAAAAGCATAAGCACTGAAATTTAGAACATAAACAAGTCAGTGCTAGTTAGTGAATCCACAGAATTAAAAGTCAACACAAAGGTAAAAAACAAACATCCATTCTGAAACAGTCAGCAACTGCTGTAATGGTCTTGTGTGCTACCAAATGGGGCTGAAACTGGGCTGCAAAAGTTATTCGCTTTTCTGCCCTGCACTGAAGGTAAAGGACTGGAGGAGCTTCACTCCTCTGAAAACAGGCTGAGAAAGTTGGGGTTGTTCAGCCTGGATAAGAGAAGGCTCCAGGGAGACCCAATTTACAGTATTTAAAAAGGGCTTATATATTTACAGGCCTTACAGTATTTAAAAGGGGGTTAAAAAAAGAGGGAGAGTAACTTTTTACACTAGCAGATAGCGATAGGACAAGGCTGAATGAAGTAAAAGAGGGTAGATTTAGATTAGACATTAGGAAAAAATTCTTTACTCAGAGGATGGTGAGGCACTGAAACAGGTTGCTTAGAGAAGTTGTGGATGCCCCATCCTTGGAAGTGTTCAATGCCAGGCTAGATGGGGCCCTGAGCAAGCTGATCCAGTAGTGGGCGGCATCCCTGCCCAGAGCAGGGGGTTTGGATCTAGAAGATCTTTAAGGTCCCTTCCAACCCAAACCATTCTATTACTATCAAACTAGGTTTTATTTATCTTCAAAAAATTGCAGAACAGTGTGATTTTTTTTTAATATTTAATCTAATATAGTTTGACCATAAATTACAGGAAAATGGAGGTGGCCTTACATAGCACAGCAACACGGAGAAATCACATTTATTCTAAAGTTTATTACAGGCAGTATAAAAAGCCTCTATCTTATCTTGTGAGTGCCCAACTGCATTTACAATTAGGCTTACCTGCTTCTGACATTCTTGTTCCTCTTCCAATAAAATCTCTCAGCACAGGATCTCACGTTTATAGAATTTCTCTGTCAAGAAAAACTGATATGTTCTCTTTAGAATATGTGCTTAAGAATTGTTTCGTAGTCAACAACAGATCACCCATTAACAGTGTTTGTGTGCAGTTTTAGCCATCTACAGACACTGCTGTCAGTGAACTTCATATCCAAAGAGAAACTACTTGTTTTTGTCATTTCCTAGCAAGAAAACAAGCAAGTAAAAAGGCATCAAAAGATGAGGCAAAGCCTCATACCCAGTAACTTTACTTCTGCTTGTATTAACATGTCCACACTGGTTTATATACAAGTCATGCTTACTTTTTTTGTCAGCAAGCATGAAATGACACCATCATCAACTACACTACACAGTATTTAAAATGTGTCCAAATATCACATGGAGTCCCTTTTGGTCCCTTTAGTAACACTATGAGGAGAGCTGAGTGCATAACTAGAAGAGATGAAAATCTGAAAGGATGCAATCAAGGACAGCATTTGATTTCAAGTTTGTTTTTTTTTTTTTGGCAGGTTGGTCTTCTCCAGAAATATCAATACACTTAGTTGTTTAATTTATTCATCAATGACCTGGATGAAAGGACAGAGTGCCTCCTCAACAAGTTTGATGACAACACAAAGCTGGGAGGAGTGGTTGATACCCCAGAGTGCTGTGCAGCCCTTCAGAAGGACCTTGGTAGGTTGGAGATGGGCAGAGAACTGTCTGAAATTCAACAAGGGCAAATGCAGGGTCCTGCACCTGGGGAAGAATAACCCCCTGCACCAGTGCAGGCTGGGATCTGACCTGCTGGAGAGCAGTGCTGTGGAGAAGGTCCTGGTGGACAACAAGCTGTCCATGAGCCAGTAGTGTGTCCTTGTGGTCAAGAAGGCCAATGGTATCCTGAGGGGTATTAGGAAGAGCATTGCCAGGTCAGGCCACATTGGGACTGCTGTGTCCAGTTCTGGGCTCCCCAGTACAAGAGACATGGAGTTTCTGAAGTAAGTTCAGTGGAGGGCTATGAAGATGATCAGGGGACTGGAGCATCTTTCATATGAGGAAAGGCAGAGGGAACTGGGCCTATTCACCTCCAAGAAGAGACAACTAAGAGGGAACCTCATCAATGTATACAAGTATCTAAATGGAGGGAGTCAAGAGGACGGAGCCAAGCTCTGCTCGATGGTGCTGAGCAATAGGACAAGAAGCAACAAGCAGAAACTGATGCACAGGAAGTTCCATCTGAACATGAGGAAGAACTTCTTTACCATGCAGGTGACAGAGCACTGGAACAGGTTGCCCGGATATTGTGGAGTCTCCCTCATTGGAGATATTCCGAACCATCTGGATGCAATCCTGTCCTACATGCTCTAGGATGACCCTGCTTGCGCAGGGAGGTTGGACCAAATGACCAACTGTGGTCCCTTACAACCCTACCCATTCTGTGATTCTGTAATATGGAGACAAAAGACTTCCTCTGTGGTAGTATCTCCCATTTCTATAGAATGGGAAAACTGAAGATCTATATTCTACTTCCAACACTAGACTAGTCTGTGACCTACAGTTTAAACAGCTGCAAATCTAAACATGTCCTGATTTGGTCACACAGAGCTCAACATCCTTCCCCCAGCCCAAAATAGCATATCACCACTCACAAAAAAAATTTGTCAGTAAATTTAGTGTTCTCTAATAAGTACATATTTAATGGCATAAGACTTTCAAAAACATTATTCAAAGAGAGAATACAAAAGTGGTTTTAGTAGGATTTTGAGAACATTCACAAGCATCTATAAACTTGTAGATTTGAAAACCTAAGCTGAGAATTGATGACATGGCCACATTTCATTCACACATATTAAAGTGGAAGGGATACTGAGAATCCCTGCATTGAGTCTGACTTCCAGGACAAAGTGGAAAATAAAATCTACAGCAGCCCAGAGAAGCTTAACTGCACAATGACTGAAACACACACTGGTTCACAATATTTATTACAACCTATTGCTTTAGATAAACCTGCTGTATGGTTAGTAAACCCAAACCACACTATATGAACCAAAAAAACCAAATTACAGCACAAACCACATCTCTGTAAAAGGTATGCAGTGGAGAGGCACAACCTTAGACCTGTAAGAAAGAGTACAATGAAGATCTTCATATGTGAGTACAGTTCTCCTTGTAACAGAAAATGAAGGTAAATAAAACTGATACTAATGGTAAAAATCAGAGTAGTATTGTTATATCTGTATACAAAGAATACAGGGTCTTTTTAAATACCCTTCTTTCATTCTCAATTACCTGTAAACACAGTTCTCCCAAACCACCTTCCCTCTGTACCCGAACCAGTATATAAAGATCTATACAGAATGTGCAAATCCAGTATAAGTATTTTTAGGCTCTCTTCTTCAAATAGAAGAAATACAAGTTTAAAACATTAACACCACAGATTCCCTCTACCCGGCCTCTGCAGAAAGACATCCAAGTACAGAAGTAGCAAAACACTGGACCAAGAAATCCATAAGAATGTGTGAACAATAAATACAAAATACATGTGGAAAAGCAAAAAACAAGTTATCAAGGAAAACTACTAATACTGGCAAGGGAAAGTGAATTAGGACTCGTCAGCTTACAGCAGATCTGTTTCTAAAAAACATTCACATAAAGGCTTAAGTAAACCTATAACGTTAACTGAGATCCAACTACATCTTAGGCTTACAGGATGTATTCATAAAGATGTGATATCTGGTAGTTACATGCCATGCTCATACTATTTAATGATACCATATTTATAAGTGTTGCTAGAGCAAGGTGTCGGGAGTCAAATAGCTACTCTACTGGGTTATTTGCTACTGCTGCCTTTTCATTATCACTCTCCACAGATTCTTTCTGCACCAAACATTTTAATAGCCCTCTACCAATCTGCTATTTTATGCTTTTGAAAAATAAGTTAGACAAAAATACTACAGCCTACAGTGAGTGTGGTACAATCTAGTTCTTGTGTTAAGACTTCTGGCCCAAGAATAATTTAAGAACAGTACCAGCCTGAGCAGAACACAGTTCTAGAGCACTTAAAATAGACAGATGTTGAAAGTCTGGATTTTACTTCAATGCTGGAAAGTGAGCCAGAGACTAAAGAATTTATATACATAAATCTCAAGCATAGTCTAGAAGCTCAAGCAATAACCAGAGTTCACTC